AAAGTTTTTCAATCTTCATTTATTTGATATTCTATAAGTAAACTTTTTCAAATTCATCCTTATTTGTATTTAAAACTCATAAGTTAAATTTAATTTTTAGTTGTGGGATGATTTTAGCAACAAAACTACATGACAAATATAAAGGACTTCCATAACTAATAGAAAAACAGTGGTGAATAATAACTTTATTATTTTGAGTTGCATGACAAATCCAAAAATATATATATTAATTTTGAGAAATAAATTTTAAGAAATTTAATAATAAAATAAATTTTAAGAAATTATTTTGAGTTGCATGACAAATCCAAAATATATTTTTGGATTATATTAATTTTGAGAAATAAATTTTAAGAAATTTAAAACTACATGTTTTATTAAACCACATGTTTTAATAAATTATATGCATTTATAAATTCCCCACTGTTTCTCTTAGAATGCATTTGACTTTTAGCTAGTGTAGAATTAAACAACAATACATGGCACAATTGCTCTGTACAATAGAAACAAATGTAACATTTTTTAGTTTATTTAACTTATATCTTAATCACAAGCAGTTGATCATTTCATAATTAATATATAATGTAAAAAATTAGATGTTCAACAAACATAAATACTTAAACAAATAGCAATCTATCACGTTATTGTGTAGATACATGACACATAGAACACATTTTCACATGTTGTGCTCATTTCAACTTTAATGTGAAATGGAATTGAAAATTGATATTATAGCTGCCAACCTTTGAAAGAAAATGAAAGATATGTTTTATTATTTATATTTGAAAAATGCTTTTTAAATAATTAGTTTTTGATAAGCTGAAATCAGGGTTGGCCTTAAGTGTCCAAAACTGTCTAAAACACTTCTGTTCATAGCTCAATATAAAAATTTATTTAATATGTTGACTGCTGCAACAAACTGTCAGTCTGGCCACAGCACTGCCAAGTCATATCTGTTCAGTTTTGAAAAAGTGTGTTATTGATTATTCAGATCAAATGGTTTTTTATGCTGTGACAATTAGAAAAGGACATAAATGATAAACTTGATATTGAGCTTCTGCAAACTTTTTGATGTTTTTCAAAATCGTAACAAAGACTTAATATTAGAAGGTTTAGAGAATCAATAGGTGCAAATTATTCAGACTACCTGAAAATAAAACTATGCCTTCTGTTCGACCAAGGCAGCAAAATATTGCAATCACAAAAATGATTCTAGAAAAAGCTTTGGATTCGCATGCAAGCAATATTTTTAAAAAAAATAAATAAATATTTAAATAGACTAATCAAAACATAGGGAAATATGAAGAATACATTTTGTTCAAAATGTCCTGACCAACCTCAGCTTTGCATAAAATGCTTTAATGTACTACACACAATAATTTTTCTAATAAACAATCTTTATTATAATTTTATAGTTTTATTATAAACTGGGAATATTTATAGAAATATTCTCGAAGATTTCTTGAAACCAGACAAATAAGTGTCACCCAAATGTGGGTGACGCAGTCTGAAGAGAACTGCTGTCACCTGGACATGGGTGGTGCAGCAGTCAACGTGTTGAGCAATATTAAAAGATAGTGAAATTAACTATGATACAAAATTATCAAGTTATTAAATATAGATCTATGTCTTCAAAATAATTTTTTTTTAAAATTAAAAATAGTTTCATCCTCTCAGTCTTTAACTGTCCAAAACTATATATTATAGTATTGTTTTATATAAACAAAGAAAATGTCTAAAAATTGCAGAGGGTAGAAAATTATAAATTTACTATGAATTAAATTGTAATTTTTTTTTTATCAGGAAATAAAAAATAAAAGTAACTTTCTATTTAAAACAAAGCTGTTATAAACTTTAAATAAATATTTAATAGAGTTGTTGAAATAGTATATTATAAAAATATAGATAGTAAATGTATACAGAAAAAGGGCATATAATGATTAGATAAGAAATTTTAAGTTCTTGTATTTTTATACCTTTATTATAAGTTTTGGACACTTTTGGTCTGAAAATCCAAACCCTAAACCTGGCAAGTACTTTTATTAAAAAATAACTTATTCACAAATATAGAAAAGTTAAGGACTTTCAATGATTCCAGCAATATAAATTAAAAAAAAGAAAGAATGTTTTGAGTTGACAGCAATATATATGTATTTCCAACAAATATATTTTTTGAACGAAGAACGTACAATAATATTTAAAACACAGGACCAACAGCAAAATTTAAGTACTATCAAAGCCAAACATTAACAGTAAAATACATTTGAATATTTAATATAATTGTATAAATGCTTTTTAGTTCATAGAATATAATTTAAAAAATTAGAAACTTAACTCATTAATTTTAATTTTTATATATAATAAAAGGTTGAATTAGGCACAAGAAAGACATATAGAATTGCAATATGTACAGTAAGAAAAAAATTATGCTTATCATCTATACACTTTATTTTTATTAAAATAATTCCTTCATGCAAAAAGAAGCTGAATATAGCAGATTAGTAAAATCGTATATGGTCAATGAAAAATATTTATGCATATATAAAGATCAGAAAATTTAGTATTTCACCCTATCTTGATATGATAGAATTGTTAAGCAGTGTAATATACAGTTATTAAAAAGATATAACAAAATAAGATTACTAAAATGGCTAACATAAATTTGGAGTGCAATTTTATACATGATTCAAAAAACATTAATTTTTCTTAACATTTTTAATTTTTTTTAACATATTTGTACTCTTTTTAAACCCTGATTTTTTTAAATTCAAATTTTCATTTAAAATTATATCTATAAATACAGCACCTGTAAGATACATTAAAAAAGGTCTGTTTGAAAGAATTCAAACAAAAGTAGGAACTTTTTAACTACATGCATAAAAATTGCTCATTTAAAATGTACGTAAGAAACAATAACAAGTATAATTAAGGTAATCATTAAAAAAAATTTAAGGTTAAAACTGTGTGTTTATTTAATTTATGCCAAAGAATCTTTTAATTACTATAATGCTCATGTTATAATGCAGAAGAAAAAAAAAACATTTTTTGATACGTAAAATCATTTTTTCATCAATGGTACAGTACAGAACCCGTTATCCGGAAATCAGAAAACCATAAAACCGGAACAAAATTCGATAAATTTTCCTGCCATTTAAAAAAAAATAATTTTTTTTCCTCATAAGATTTTAGGATTTTTCTTTCTTTTTTAACAGATGTTTACCTTACCATCATTTTAGAAATAATCATTAGTGTATTACTTTATCACTTTTTCTTCTTTTTAAGATTATTTCTAAAAAAATTTTTTTTAGTTGGGTTTGACAATAAAAAAATGGCTTTTTGTAGCGATTCAGAAAATGGGAAAAATCAGTTACCTGGAATAGCGATGGTCCCGGATAACCGGTTCCCTACTGTACTAACAATTGAATATTGATTTATCTTTCTATATTGATATTTATAAAGTTGTTTATTTTCCATATTCTTCAGATCAATAATATTCTGACTGCATGTTTATAGCTCTTGCAATGGATGATGCACTGTATTTCATCAAAACAATGACTAAGTAGCTGATTTTATCGTTAAAGGCAAAAAGAAATTGGGAGGTAAAATCTTAATTTAATTTCCTTCATTTCATTAAATTAAATTCATTTAAGGAAATTAATTTCCTTCATTTCATTTGAAATTTTTATTAATAGTTATATTTTACTCTTTATCATTCAGTTACAGAAAATACTTTAAAAAAGTGAAAATTTAGCAGAATGATATTCTATTGCTATGGATATTTTAATACATTTTTTATATGTTTTATTAATGAAATGGGATTATAATTCATTATAAACACCATTTATAAATTTTGTATTTCTTAAACTGCATGCATTTATAATTGAAAACGAATTAATACATTAAAATTAAATTAATAATTTTTATGTTGTATCTAGGTACTACAGCATTTTTTTTTCATTAAATTTTTTGGATTATTTCACCTATGATACAAAATGCTATACGTTAATTATTATATTTTAACAAATAGCATTTAGCAGAATATTTTTTAGCAGGCATTATAAAACTAAATTTTTTCCTCTTGCTCTACAACTGTAATTTTACAGATGTTACGATTACTTTGTATAAAAAAAAACATTGCATAATATATTCTCTGATTGAATAATTTAATATTTTTACTGTAATTAATTACAAACAGCTTGAAAGGGGTATTTTTTGAAGAATTAGAAGGAAAATGTGTAAACCTGAAAACAGACTTCAATTAGTCAATCAATAGCACCAGGCACAAAAGATTTGTACTCAAATTATTAATTGAATTTTGACGTAGCATGAAATTTGACTTATTAATGGCTAAATTGAAACTGTTAAATAATATTTCATTTAATAATATTATGGATTGTAAAAATTGCTTAAAAGAATCACGCTTAATATAATTTTATCATTTCTATGTTATAAAATGCGTGTTGGTTGAACAAAATGAAAATAGAAGAAGGAAAAAAACTGATTCTTAACTTATTCCAAAATGATAAAAGCTACTTTCTTAACTTAGAATTCGATACCTGCTGCAGTACATAAATGAGTACATAAAAATGATCTTCATAAAATGTGCGTCAAAAAATTAAATCCTTGAAGTTTAAGATAAAATTTTAGAAATTTCCCTTTAAAAATATATTAATGGGTTAAAAGAAATTGGAAAATTAAAAAAAAAAACTGATAGTAACAAACTTAAAAGTTAATTATCAAAATCTAGAAGATTTATTTGAAACTGAAATAAATAAAACATAAAATTTAATACGTATAAGGACGCTTGAAGGTTCAAATAATTCGATAATACAGATATGTAAGGTTTAATTGTGATGAAGGTTTCCTATTCTAAATAAATAATAATTTATTATGCCTCACCACAAAAAGATAAATATAAAATGTTATCAAGAAAAGCTCCTATCAACAGTCTTTAAATTGAAGAGCTTAGCAGAAAGATGTGTTAAATGATCTTTTCGTAAATGTAAGAGAAATAGCCTTAGACTGCAAAGAAATGACAAGAAAGCTGTTAACAAAGTCTCTTTTTTTATATAAAAATCTGCCTCATTTGAAAATTACAGCTAACATCCTGAAAACCTCAATATTTTCAAATTGTTGCATAACACACTTTTCAACTAAGATCTTCAATTATCACCTTTAAAAAGAATAAAACATTGATCATCGTAATACAAGTTTTGCTTATATTTTTGATAAGTGTAAAAATGTCCAGGATTCTATATACATAGTTGCAGATTGTAAATAAATCATCTTTGCAATGTAAGGTAAATATCATGCAAAATTAACTGATTACATTGGAAAAAAATCCTCTTGGGCGATTCAATGACGTTTTAAGAGTTTTAATGTACGACTCATCAATGATAACAGCTGCCAATGTGATTTGTTGAATCAATTTTCCAATAATAACTTTAGTTTTTAATCATCGTTAAACATGATACTTGTGCACCAATATTTAATTTTTTGTTATTAATTAGTAATCACCTCCATTAAATACCTTTTGTTCAACACTGAAGCTTAGCATAATGGAGAATTGAATTGCATCAGTGATTTATCAGAAGAAAAGATGTGGATATTTTTTTCTTCAAACGCATCAAATAATGAGTATTCTTGTGCACTGAACAAATGAGGAGTTTGCCAAATGATGATAAAAAATAATTTGTAGCAATGAATAGTAGTAACTCACATGGGGAAAAAGATTAACTTAAAATCCATAAAAGGTTCTGCCCTGGCATAACAGGGCTTTTTATCACGAATGATTTTTTTTAACAAAAAAAAAATCACATTTCTTGGCAAGATATTGAACATTTAATTACAAGATATATATTTGTGACTCTAGGAATGCACGTTTATTGGTAATCATATTGTGCTTTCCAACTGTGGATTCAGCTGAGTTTCATTGAAAGGTACCATCTCTTCTACATCACAGGCTTCGTCCTCTTCTTGGAATTGTATATCTTTGGCTTTGAACCAAACAATCAGATCCACAAAGAAAGCTAAAAGCATGATGACAGCTGTAACACCATGAAAAACAGACCGGAATTTGGACGGATCATAGAGACGACACGCTCCTGGTTCGCCACAATTATCTTCCCAGAAGAGGCAAGCTGAGTCCACTACAGCACCATAAATAATAGGACAAGGAACATTACCTATTGATTAAAACAAAGATATATTAAAATTAATAATCACATTACATGTATAGAATATTTAACAATTTAGAATCACTAATGTAGTATTAATTATTACGGGAAAAAAACATATAATTTTGCAGAAATATTTGCAATGTAATTACAAAAATTTTTTCAAAATATACACAGGAATAATTTTCAGCTAAACAAATGATGTTCACCAGCAACTTCAAATATCTATAGCCCTGTTTACATTATTTCAAAACAAGTTCCAAAAATATTCATAATACACAAAAAACTATGTATAAAAATCAGACCTGCTTACTACTTAAAATTCAAAAGTGTAACATTTACATAAAACTGTATCTTTCAAAAATTACAATGTTTTTTTTTTAATGGATTTTGTGGAAAATACTTAAACTTATAACAACAACATAAACTTATAACAAATAGGTATTAACATTAGAAAAATGGCTAAATTCAAAACATAGCTCACTAAAAGTATTTTCTGACTTTTTTATAATGTGATACCTTATACCTGGAATGACCGGGGAGGCCAAACAGGCCCCTTAGGTATCTTGGTAGGAACACCACCATAAGTCAGGTAGGTTTGGGTAATTGGTACCATTTAGTAGGTATAAAGTACCCCAGTTTTATTATTATATATATATATATAAAAAAAAAAACAAGTATTCCAACACATCTTCAATCATTATTTATAGAGAAAAGGAAACTCAATTATCTAATCAAGTATATCTGAAAAGTCAGTGTTCCATTTAATCAAACATTTTCATTAATCAAATTGAATAAAATATCATAGAATTTTGATGATCAAGTCTCTAATATATTCCTAATTAAATTAATTATGATTACATTTTAAGATTTTAGATGACTAAGATTAGATTTTAAGATTTTGATCAACACACAAACAATCTGGGAAGGGTCAAACTGGCCTCTTCAGTATTTCTACGCATATATCATTGTTTAGGTTAATTAAACTTTAACTTTTCTCACCAAATAAGCCTATTGCAAATGCTATGAGTCCTAGGGCCATAGCTTTGTCCTTTGGTTCAACACATCTAAAAGATAAAAAAAATTACAGTTATATCAAAAAATCCACTTGTAAAACTCCAAAAAAAATATTATTAAATTTAAAAATTCAAGAAATTTTTAAGCATATTAAACAGAATAATTTAAAAATATATATTAGGAAAGAATATTTATATTAAAACTCTTACAATTTAAGACAAAATTACATATTAATTAACTTACCTTAGTGTAAGAAGCATAGATCCAACTTCTGAAGTAGAATGGGCCAAAACGAAAAAAGCAAATACTGCGACATAAGGAAATAGGCTGTTGCATTCGAGAGGACAAAATCCATTGGTAGCTGTTACATTAGGACCCAAACACTTACAGTCAGAGTAAACATACTAAAATATTAAGAGAAAATTTATCATCACAGTATCAGCAAAACAAATTTTTAATTAAATAAATAAGCCCAAGAAACTGAAGTGGTAAAATTTTACCTGATTAAAAACTTAATCAGGGTGCGTAGCCAAATTATTCAACAAAAAATAAGAACCTTATAGCACTTTTCAAGCACTCAAAAAATATTTTTAAGCACTTTATAAAAATATTATAATTAGGCAGGGTTGGAAAGTTTTTGACCATTGACGGTTTTATCTTGTTTTAACAGTCATCTCAAAGAAAAAACCTTTTCGTATTGTTTTTGATAATTATCAAAAATCATGAAATTTTGAATCATGTATAACGAATGGCGTTTTCATACGCTACGGACTGACAATACGCCGAAATATATATTGGGGTTGAATTATGAAAACGCTGAATAGAACAATGTGAACTATGTTTTTCTGCATAATTCAAAGTGAAAATCAACATGGTAAAGGAAAAATCTCATTTTGAATACAGGGAAAATTAAGAACTTTTTAAAAACACCCAATGAAAAAAGCACCTTTGAGGGCTTTTAAAAAATTGAAAATAAGCGCCTTTAAGCACTTTTTGAAAACGCTATGCAGCATGTTAATTCGCTTGCAAAATATATAATAGGAAATAACTATGGACCTGCTTCAAGTCCTTAAAAATATGAACTCATCTTCAAGACTTGCCAGACATGAATGAGAAGAAACAAAAGTGATTTAAAATACAAAAAATTTTTTGCCAACAAAAAATGGAAAAATAAAGGTGATGAACCTAGTTTTTCTAGTTTCGTTTTTAACCTTTATTTTTCATTGGCAACTTTACCATTTCAAATCATTTGTTTCTTCTTATTTACAACTAGCAAGTCTTGAAGATAAGCTCCTATTTTTGTGCTCTTGTAATATGTCGACTGTTATTTTCCATTTATATATTTTTGAAGTGAATTAAGTTTTTAATTGTTAAAAAAAGATTGCTTTTAAATTACAATAAACACTCTCTTAATTGCTTCTTTTTGTATTTATAATTATATACATCATATAACTATATTAATACAAAACACAACATTTCAATTGGATACCTACAAGTAAAGTCATAGTAGGTAAATCTTGACATTTGTTAGTCAGGTTTGACTGACACACACACTCGGGACGTTGCTTACAGGTATCCAATTAAATTTGATTTAAGTCTTATAGATACTATTACACTTCCATTCTTCTCGAGTTGCGAGAACCCAAATGAATGATTAATATGCAATAAACTAAATGACGTTTAAGTGCCTTGCACAATCATCTTCCAAAAAAGGATTAAATTTATTTTACATAAATTCTGAAGGTAAACAGCTGATCCATAAGATTGATGTACGGCCTTTTAATATTTAATTGCTAAAATTAATGCCACGCCATTTCCGACTCTGAATGGCATGAATGTGTTCTATACTCATTTATCTAGCGTCTGGGCTACACTATTCCATCTGTTTCATATATTACATACATTCATTCATATTTGAATATACAATGAAAGAAGTTCAATGGCAAAATCTGTTTATATGCACTTTCAAATAATATTCTTTTTTTTTAATAAATGAATGATATTAAACAATAAACTATTTGATCAATTAGCTATGTAAAATAAAATTATATAAAATGCATCAAAATATAAAACTATCAGTGAACAAGCACCAGTGCTTAAAATAAACTAAAGTAATATTAATTAAATAAATGCTTAGGATTTATTTGTTGTATATACAAGACTATTATGTTATCAAACATCAAATATTTTAATCATCGAAATTATTATTAAATCTAAAACAAAAATTAATAACTAAATGAAACAAAAAATAAGTCATGATAATGCAAAATGAGTTTTTTAGAAACCTTCCTTAAAAACCTCAACCTTAATTTTAAAAAAAATATTAAAAGTCATCAAAACAAAGCAATTAGGAGTTTAAACACTGAAAAATGTTTATCCCACACTTGTAGAAACATTCAAAATTAGTGAAAAAAGATGTTAAACTGATAAATGAATCAAATTACTGTCTAATCCAGTGAGTGGTATAAACAAATGATAACTGTTACAGTGTTAAAAATAGTAATCAATATTTTCTCACAGATAAATATTTGTAAAAAGTGAATCCTAATTAAAAGAAAAGATTAAAAATCAAGATAAATTTTCCTCTAGAGTTTGAATTATCACTGAAATCTATAAAAATTTATAGTAAATATGATTTAGTTTGATTAAATAGGCATAATCACATAGGCATTTTGCAAAGTAGCCTTTTCAAAAACTTTCTGGACAAAAATTTTCGTATTTTTTTTTCTCTTGTCTTTATTTTGATTAGTGACTAACTCATTGAAATATTAGCATTATAATTAGCATTTTAATTTTTCTTCACTATTTTCAAAAATTATTTCGAATAATAAGTTATATAATATTTTCTCCTTTTCTCATTCATCTTCCTGTGATTTTTATTTCAAACTAATGAGAAAGTTTGAGAAAAAAATAATCAAAAGTAAAAACATTTATCAATTTGAAACTGATAAGGACCAAATAATTACAAAATTTTTTTAATTAGGATTAGTTTATTTAATTTTTTTATTTTGTAAAAAAAAATTCTGAATGTAAAAATGTGTCTGAAGGTTATAGATACAAGTAAAATATAAGTTATATATATATATTAATAAAAAAAGTTGTATATAAGTTGTAAATAATAAAAAATAAAAAAATTAAATGCGTTTATTAATCAAAATATTCATATCATTATGTTCAAGAATATTTTTTAAAAAAATAAATGTGTGCCATAAAAAATATTAGCATTAGAAAAATATTTTCCAATTTATTATTTTGTTTATGCACAGTGTTCTAAAATCACAGCCTTTATCATTTTTTTAAAAAATTCTTGTTACAACAGAAATAAAAAAATATTCATTTTTGTATTTGCAAAATCATATTTAAATAAAAAAAAAACACTTTTTTTAAATTCAGATAGATTGCCATGCGGAGGAATTAGTTTAAAGACAATTTAAGCAAACAAAACCAGTTTAATTGCCAGATGAAATTAAAAGACCTGAAAGGAGATAAAAGGCGAATAATAGTAATGCCTTTCGTTTTCATCTGATAACCAAACTGGTTTTGAGAGTATTAACCCTTTTTTCAACATAAATTCACTAAATTTTCTTATAAAATATAAATCTGCATACATATTTTTACTTCAATGTATATTACTTTTATTTTTTTTTTGACAAGAACTTTAAAGTTGTATATTAAGGGCAGTCATAATAAAACATCATGTACATTTTTATGTTTTGAAGGCCTTATCTTTCCTATAAAAAATATTCATGCATTCACAACTATCGTTAGTATCCCAAAAGTAAGAAAATTTTGCAGAGTTAGTATTGCTAGTAGAAATGAAATAAATATTGTTAGTAATTAGTACTGTAAAAATGGTTAAGAAGAATTCACAGTACATCAGTTGAAAAATAAGAAAGAAATGATATTGATAGTGTATAAAAACTTTTCCTTTTTTTTTCTCTTCAGAAAAATTCAATAAATAAAAAACAGCATTTTGTTCTTTATTTTTAAAGATTTAAGTGATTTATATATAGACAAAATTTATAAAAAAAATCTACATTACGTACAGGATTACTGAGATCTGGATCAAACTTAGCAAAAGCAATCAGATATGTTAATAATCATAAAATTTAAAATTAAATATATTTTTTTCTATGATTTGTATGATTTGTTTCTATGTTATATGATTTATAGCCATAAAATCACTTTAATAGCATATTACTGCATTCTTTATCAATTTTCCAACTAATGTATTCTGTTTTAGATTAAATGGTTAAAGGAGACAAGAGTAGAGAAGGATGAAGAGGAATTAAGTATTATTTAGCGGAATAATACTTACTTCTTCTCCATCCTTTAACAAAAGCATTACCTTATCGTAGGAAGAACCTGAAACATTAGTGCATCCAGCTAAGCAGGGAGAGAGGTAGGTGACACCTTCACTTGTGCAGATTGGTGCAAATTCTCCAGGTAGACAGCCACAAGTTTCACTGCAGTTCTTTTGGCTAATGTCTTCGTATTCACTGCATATAATTTCATTTTTAAGAAAATATTGAAGCAATAAATTAAAGCAACATTAAGTCAGATTGCTAAAAATATTATACAAATTAAATCTGAGTGAAAAGAAAAAAAAACGAACCAAACTCAGCATGGAAAAGTCTAGTTTTGGAACTAACTCAGTTGCAGAAAGCAACTGAGTTTTTTGCAGATTTAAATTTTTCATGACATTTTTCTCTAAATTTTTTTTATACTATTTTGCCTCAAATCTACTCAAATTCAAAGCTTTATTTTATTTTTCAATTTCTATACAATATCCGTTTTTCCCCTACACATAAGCCAATTTTTCCGTTTTTAAAGCATATCTTTCTTTTTTAATTTGTCAAATAACTATAATTTTTTTAATGCAGTGTTTTTAGTAGACGCTATAATGTGGGAGAAACTTTTTATGGCAAATTCTCTTTGATTGGTATTTTAAAGTTAAAAGAAAATCAGTTCTGTTAAATCTAGAATAAACCATGAAATTTCAAATGCAGAAAAAATATCAAAATACAAACATATTACTACAGGATTAACTCTCTCACTGTGTAATTCTAAGAAATCCTGGCATAATTTGTTTGAAACAAAACAAATTATGCCAACAAAAATTCCAACATTTAAAACTTAATGATTTCAATTTTAAACTACAGTACAGAACCCGTTATCTGGAAATCAGAAAACCAAAAAACCGGAACGAAATTCGATAAATTTACCCGCCATTTTTTTTAAAAAAAAATTTTTTTCCTCATATGATTTTAGGATTTTTCTTCCTTTTTTGAAAGATTGGATTGAAAGATGTCTACCTTACCATCATTTTGGAAATAATCATTAGTGTATTACTTCATCGTTTTTTCTTCTTTTTAAGATTATTTCCAAATATTTTTTTTTTTTTTAGCTGGGTTTAACAATAAAAAAAAAACTGCTTTTTGAAGCAATTCAGAAATCCGGAAAAATCAGTTATCCGGAATAGCGATGGACCCGATCGTTCCGGATAATCGGTTCCCTTACTTAAATAGATGAAAGAGAATTTATCATGAAGGATTTTTTCCACAGTATGTCGTCTTAAGGAAATGAATTTGCAAACTAGATCAATTCTTCATCAATTTTCAAAATTAAAAAAAATTTTGAAGAACATAATAAAATGGTGCATTTAATATCAAAATGAACTCACAGAATAAACAAATGAATAAACAGATATATTTGACAGTGCGAAATTAGCTAAATATTAAATAACATCATACCTTCCAGCATTGAGTCCAACATATCGGTTAAGTGGGCAACCAAATACCATTAAAATCATCATCCCGATGGCATAACACAGGGCAGAAAATGCAATCCAACCAGACACAAATCTTGCATTGGGTTTATACAGACGCATGAATGTCCCACTGGCAAAGATTCCAATACCCATGACTAGTATACCGGCAATTCCTATATAATAATAATATTAAGTTATTTATGATAAAAAGGATTAGTTCTCTTTTTATCGACATTTCAAGATAGTGAGCCTCGTTAAGATAATGAATTCAATTTAATTGATTATTTTAGATAGATACATAAAATTGAATCGAAATAATCGATTCAATTTTATGCATCTGAGATACAATGAAGATCTTTATTGGAATGAAACACTAATTTATTTTAAAAGGATTGGAAAGAAAAAGAAAATTTCGGAACATGAAAGATCAGTTTACATTTAGGTATCATGCTAAATTATGGTCAGTAAATGAATATTTAACTTAACAGATTGTAATAGTTAGTTCGGATTTTGTACAGAATAATATACTCGTTTTTTTTTTTCGATATTTACATGGTTAACCCAGGTATAAATTTTATTATATAGCGAATAAATTACAATATTCATTTTCAATCCCATAGAATGCTAACTGAAAGAAAGAGAAGGAAAAAAAGTGAAACTCGAAAGTGCATTACTAAATTTTGAGACAAAACAACTTAAAATAAGGAGGCGTAACTTTATTTTGATTAAATGTATAATAAGCTATCAATAAATTTTAAAATTTGATAAGCTTAAATTTTTGATAAGTATTGTAAAGCATCTACTGTGCATTATGTTTAACATTGTTACTTGCAAAATAGCATATATTTTTAATAGCAAAAATTATCTTCCATTCTCAATCATTAAATTCCATGGTCTGTCCGCGAATAGGACCTGACATCTCCGTCACTGAATTTATGCAAGAAGCAGAGCCGTTAACTTATTTCATACCAGTCATGGGTGCCACTCTAAAAATATTTCAAGACTGAACTTATTTTTTGACTAATTAACACAGTCTAGTGTTGTTTACCAAGAATCTCCAGAAATTTATAGCTATCTGACACCACAATGCACCTTTACATGATAATAGCCCATATATTAAATCAATAATTTTTTTATTTTTCTAAAAAAAAATAAACAATATTTTTCTTCACAGCAAACAAAACAAAAATAGCTAACTTCATATATCTTTTTTACACTAATAACCGAGTAAAATCGCTGATAAAAACTACTGACATTTTCCTAAAGCCATTTACATTTCATTTCACCATTATCTTTTATCTTAGCTCAATAAAAAAACAATTTCTCAAAAAAAAAAATTTATGTTTATCGTAATTTAACTTTCGCTAGCATTTCAAAAAGTCGGGAGAAAGTGTTTAAAAAAATCAGAATTTATATTCAACAATAGTACAAATTTTGTTTTCACTAACAAAATGCTGAAGTTCAATCAATCCTATTCTTTCATTGCGGAGTGACATTATTACCTGATTCTTTAGCAATAAATATTTCAAAAAAAATAAAAATATAATATGAAAAGATAATAAAAAATAAGAAAAATAATTTATTTATTTTTAACAAAAAATATTTCTCACATTTTTAAGGAAAAAAACGAAAATTTAATTTTAAAAACAATCTGGGGAGAGAGATTGATGGAATTTAGTCCACTGATTTTTTCAAGACTGATTTCAGTCCGCAGGACTGAAGAGTGGCACCCATGATGAGCAAAAACAACGAAACGGAAAAAAATATACTTACCTGATATCATATTGGCCATAGTAGCAGTAAGTTGAAATTGACTTTCCAAATATTTTGGCAGGAAAGTGTAAAGACCAGCTATGGGCAATATATGAAGAACACTGCTGGCCGTTCTGTAGAGAAGAATTTCATTTCTAAGTAGTCTTTTTAAAGCTGATGGGAAATCTACGGAATGAATGTTCTGTTATACAGTTTTCAAACAAAAAGGAAACAAATTATATTCACTCTCATTTGCAGCAAACGATATAAGTAAAGTAAATTGAACAATCAAAAAGTATATTTTGTAATCACCAATAATATTTATAGAGGCCTTATTAGAAATTAATTAAAAAGATAAACAGATTAGTGGTCACTAAGAAATATTTGTTGCTGTTGTTTCTAATGCCACTAGCCACACTAGCAAGCCTGCTTGGTGAAACAGAGCAAATTTAAGGCAGATGGTGCTGTTTTTCAGTGGCGCCATCTACGGCCAAGAATTCGTCTTCAGCCACTCACACGTCACACCCGTTTATAGGGCGGACTCATTCATACATCCATTCATTCATCCACAGATCGTAATTTTTGACCTGGATCAGAGAATGATCGATCTTCAAATCCAGTACCCCCAGAGGTATTGATTTGTTATGGGAACATGAAGGACTTTGCGACTCGACAGATTTAACGTGCATCAGTCACCATTTACTACACGAGGAGTCTTCGACCTGTGGGGTTCGAACTCACGAACTCTCAGGCATGGGCCCAGCGCCCTACCGACCAGGCTATCCCGGCCATAAATATTTTAAAAAAAGAATCTGCCGAAACATTACTGAGATTGAGAGTATCTGAATAAAGTTCAAATGCAATGAAAGTCTTTACTCAATTTCATACATGACTAAAATCTTTAGTGTCACTTTTATTGGGATTTAGCACAATAATTTAGATTAAGTATTTTTCAAAAATTTTATTTTTAAACTTCCTTTTAATTTATTCTAATATAATATGAGTATATTATAGCTTTAAAAATTCCTTATTCATATATCTATGTATATTAAGAAAGCCAAATAAAATTTATAGTTAATACTATAATAAAATTTATAGTTATTTATAATTATAATGATAAAATTTATAGTTCTGGGTATGAAAAATGTTATAATAAAATTATTTTTTTATACCAAAATGATAGATGGTCCCTAAAAAACATTCTTAATTCTCAACAGTTCGTTATAAAATTCGTCTTCCAAAATATTTATATTTTGGAAAAGGAATTTTATAATATTTTGTAATGTCCAGATTATTTTTTTAATGAATAATTTAAGTGTAAGAATTCATTATGGTCTTGAGTTCAATTAAATGAGTTATTGCGATACTTTTGTACCAGGCAAAATTTCTGTTGCTATTTCATGAGTTGTTAATGATTGTATTTAAATCATGGAATTTTCACCTTTTAGACTGGGTTTACTGTCATCGTCGTTTTCTTGATTTTGGTTATTATAAAAAGCAGACTGTTGGCATAGTGGGCAGTTCGGATTGTCCAACCTGTTGTCATTCACCAGTACTTCATTAACTTTGCAGTTGTGCTGTGATCCACCATTAACATTTCCATTGCCATTTGTGATAGCAGGAGTACCATTGGTTTTTGTGAAATCACCATCATTTCCATTGTGGTTAAAGCTCTTTGAAGAATTACTGTGCAAACAAGGTTTGGGCAACTTCCGTGGGAAAGCCATCATTGGAAATGCAGTCAAGATGAGAGCGGCTCCAACGAACAGGACACCTAACCACCATGCTCCAAGCCACTGGGGATTGTCTGTCGTAAGTTCTGTGGTTTCTGAAATTGCACCTTTTTTAATTACAAGTACCCAAAGTAACTTAATATCATGCACAATCTAAAATTTCAACATAAATGTTATATTGATTTTGATAGTTTTATTGATATTCTAAATAACTCTATAAAGCTAAGACGCTATAAACAAAATTTGATTACGTAATATCATGTACAATCTAAAATTTTAACTTAAATATTATATTGATTTTGATAGTTTTATTGATATTCTAAATAACTCTATAAAGCTAAGACGCTATAAACAAAATTTGATTACGTAATATCATGTACAATCTAAAATTTTAACTTAAATGTTATATTGATTTTGATAGTTTTATTGATATTCTAAATAACTCTATAAAGCTAAGACGCTATAAACAAAATTTGATTAAGTAATGGATACTCCTTTTGTACTTAGTTTTTGCAGTTAGTAACGTAATTCAAATAAATTCTAATTTTAATGCAAATGTTGTTGATAATTTGGTAAAGCAAAAAAGTTATAGGCAAAGGTTTAAGGTATGGTATGATATTGTTTACATACACAGTTTCTGCATTAATTTTGAATTGTATTTAAAAAATAAAGGTAGATCTTCATAGAAAAGAAATTTAGATTAGGTATATAGTTTTGCATCAACCTAATTTGGTATAATTAGTATGGTGGTAATATAAAATCTCCAGCTGTCACAATGCTTTTAAATTGACAGGGAGTGATAATTAAAAAAGCGAATTAACTAAGGATGAAGGTTTAGAAAAAAGATAAAAACAGATTCTGAAATAATGTCTTATCAATTAAACCTTTGATGCAAAAATTTTATTAAACATAATTTTCTTTAATTTGTATTAATTTAGGAAAAAATTTATACAAAGTAATCTAAGAGAAAAATATTATATTTAGCATTTTATTAATTTATAGTTATGAAATACAGCATAAAATAACTGGTACCTATCTATTTTTTTTCCGATAAAAATGAAATTATTGAAACATGGCTCACTTCCAAACAATAATTGAACTTGTTTGCAATTATTTAAATCTAAGAGAAACAGTCATTCACCATCGAAATATCCTTAATTAACAAAATAAATTATTTATAAATTTTTGAATATGAATGGGAAAAAATTCAAACTACTTTTTTTGGGATTTTATGTATCAGTATAAATAGAATTCCAAAATCAAACAGATTTTTTGAGTAACTATTAGGCCGTTTTTTATGATTAAAAATAGAGGGTCAATAGATAAAAGAGACACCGGTCTCCCATCTGTGTCAAAGGGATAAACAAATCAAATTTTAGCACAATATGATGAGACAGGCGATTTAAACAAACACTTGTAATAATTTATAACAAATTACAGGATCATTCGATTATTTTTATTGCTGCTTTAATCTTTAAATCCGAAAAACCCAAATCAACCAGGTAAATACAAAAAGTACAAATTCAATTATTACCAAAGGGGAAATTCACATTAATGCTAGTGCAGAAAGATCCCAGCAAAAATCCAAAAACTGGACCAAATATCCTAACTCCTATCGTAATACCTAAAAATGAAAAATAAATACAAACATAAATATAAAGAAACTGCGTTAGGATTGTTTTCTTTAGAATAAAAGGCATTTAGCTACTATAATATTTAGCTATTATAATTTAGCTACTATAGTTTTAAAAGCAATTACCAAAGTAGAGCGGTGATTCTCGAGTAGCGACATTATCATCAATGTAAGGAATGCCTAGTGTGTATACAGCTGTAGCTCCGATGCCGATAAAAAGCAAACTGACGAAAAAAATTATCAGGACGATGTTCGTGGCTTTGGCTTGTTGCTCCGAATCTCTTTCTTCACATTCATTTTTTTTAAAAGCAAGGGCTTCACTGTTGGAGAAAAATGGAGGTACTGGCTCGTTGATCTCTGTTAAAAGTCGAAAATCGTCTGCAAGGACACAAAAATATTCATAATTATATATTATGCATTGAACTAACAAATAAGCTAAGATATTAACAGTTTAATTATCATCTGTGTAGCGAATTCTTCAAGCAGGACTGGAAATTAAAAGTTGTTCATTAGTTCGGAATGCGGGAATTAACTGAAATCCGGATCAATTACGGTATAACCCTTCAACGATCGGTTCATTTCCAAGAAAACGGTCATAAAAGTGCCTATTTTTCTTATCCAATCACAAATACACGTATTTGATTAGTGCTGACATCTAGTTTAAAATAAACTAACTACCTACAATTACCTCAAAAATATCCTGGCACTGCCATCTGGTGTGTAAAATGAGAAATAAAATGCTTTCCGGGCAAAAGAAATGAATTAGTTTTATTCTTGTTGGCTTGTTACTACTGAACACTCCAGCCCGGAAATATCACGGGAGCGAGAAATAGAGGGCGAAACCTCACCCCACCATTTTCACGGGAGCGAGAAGGAAGGGGTTAAAGTTTGGGAGCATCATCCGTAAAGTACAATTTTCCGTAAAATTCATTTTTCCCGTAAAATATTATACCAGCGTAATTTTTACAGTAATAATATACTAAAATTTGACATAAATAAAATAAAGGAATAGATGCTAGTGATCCCTTGGACCAGCAATCTATGTAAAATAATAATAATATTTTTTTTTTCGTGTGTGTATTTTAGTTTATATTCTAACAAAATAGCATATTTAATCATAACGGTAAACATTACACGTTCTCTGTATCGCAATTTAGCATGAGGAGAAATATAATTATGGTTATTAATGTTAACAATAATTTATTTCCTTTAGGAGCTAAAATTAAATAAGATTTTTCTGACTTTCTATTTAGGACTTAAAGAGTATTTTCATTGATTTTGGATGTAATAAGCAAATTAGAAAAACAATTATTGTCACGCAAAAACTAGCGGAAGTTATCACTGATAATAATAAAATGTTTTGAACTTTAAGTACGCTTTTAATTAATCAACAATGACGTCACTGCAAGTGACGTCACTGTTGATAAATTAATGAGTTTGTCTATTCAGAAGCCAATCATGTTCAACAAATACGAGTGACGTCGCGCACAGGTATCCAAATAAATCTGATTTAAACCACATGGTTAGGCATAATCAATTCACTTCTTCTCGAGTTTCAAGTATCTAATTATAAAAATATTACATTTAAAGAAAAAAAAAAGGAGACACTCTAAACACAAATGCATTTTCCTCTTGTCTTATTGATAACTGGGCTGTATAGTGAAATTTTGGTTTTAAAGTCAGCAAAAATCAACTTTTAGAATTTTTACAAGAAATAAAAAAACATCAGTCAAATAATTACAAGAATAATATATCAATACAATTCAAATTTTAATTCGTTAATGATGGTGGTGGAAAAATGAACAAATAGTGCCATATTTTGCAATTAAGTTGTATTTTTTCAAAAAATAATGTCTTTAAATGAAAATAAAATTATAAAAATCCAAAAGGTTTTTTTTTAAAAAAAATTAAAAGATAGTATGGCATTGAGTTTTATCTGAAATATTTAGATTTTTTTTTCTGTTTAAATTTAATAAAATCTAAAAAGAAGCAGAAAAAACTATGTTTTTTTTTGACGAAATTGGATTAATTCACAATTAGAAAGTGATTAATCAGAAAATCATGCATTGAAAAATTTTATAGTTAATATATTCAGAAAATAAAATTGCTATAATTTTTCATTCAATTATTATGTAAAAGTTTAAAAATTAAAGTTTTCAATTATTATAAAACTACTAAAAGCGACAAAATGCGGAAATAGAAACTATTGAAAAGTGTGCCACTACTCATTTTAACAAACGCAATTTTACAAAAAAAAAAAGATGGATTAAATTTTAAATTAAACACAAAATTAGTTTATAAAAAGGAAATGAACACGAAACAAAGCTAAATAAATAAACTTATTGTAAAACGCTGAAATATAAATCAATCTGTTTTGCATCTTTGAAATAATCTAATAACAAACATTCCTCAGTTTTCAGTTTCATAATTTACGCCAAAAATTATGGATGGTCGAATATCCGGAAGAGCGTAGAAAGAAAATACAAGACGCGTGTTCCCTAGACGGGAAATGTCCTTGTAAGTTTTCAAAGTCAAGGACACAGAGATTGCACTTTAATACAAAACCGTTAAATGCATTTAACAGCCAGTAAACCTAATTGGCACGTGGTAAAGGAAATTATTTATCTAAATATGTATTTTGAAGTTACACCCAATAAAAATGTTTATTATAAAGTTTTCCATTAACTAATTCGAGCACATAATATTCCTTATTTAAACAAAAGCTAATTAAATAAAATAAAAAAAATCGAGAATAAGTTTTTAAAAAACGAAACACATTTCGTAAGATAAACTAGAAACACGTGAGACAAATTAAATTATTGCAAACAATAGGACAATCAAATATATTTGTATTTTTCCACTACTCAAAACCAATAAAATTCAACTGAATAAGATTGCTACGAATTTTAAGAAAGTTTTCATTCACCAGCTCTGTAACTACAAAACAAACAAAAAATGATAATCGAGCAAAAATTATCAATAAACTTCAACAGAACAAAAACGAGATAAAGATTTGTTTTTTTAATCAATTTAAAAAAAGAACATCGGTTTTTCTTTTAAAGCCTGGAAGAAAGGCATCAACTAGCAACAAGCGAAACAAATCAAATTGTTGCAAAACATTAGGGAAATCTGTATCTTTTAATTCAAAACCTTCATTTCTGCGAAATAAATAAGTATCCATTAGTTTTTTTGGATCATAATTCACGTCAAAACATGAGGACAATCAAAAAAAATATTTTTCAACTACTCAAAACCAATAAAATTCAACTCAATAAGATTGCTACGAATTTTAAGAAAGTTTTCGTTCACTAGCTCTGTACCAACAAAACAAATAAAAAATGTTAATCTAGCAAAAATTATTAATAAACTTCAACCGAACACAAATGCGATAAAGATTTTTTTTTTTAAATTAATTTGAACATTGATTTTTCTTTTAAAGCTTGGTAGAAAGGCATCAACTAGCAACAAGCGAAACAAATCAAATTGTTGCAAAACATTAGGGCAATCTAATCATCTGTATCTTTTAATTCAAAACCTTCATTTCTGCGAAATAAATAAGTATCCATCAGGTTTTTTTTTGGATCATAATTCACGTCAAAACATTAGGACAATCAAATATATTTATATTTTTCATCTACTTAAAACCAATAAAATTCAACTCAATAAGATTGTTACGAATTTTAAGAAAGTTTTATTCACCAGCTCTGTAACTACAAAACAAACAAAAAAAGATAATCGAGCAAAAATTATTAATAAACTTCAACGAAACAAAAACGCGATAAAGATTTTTTTTTAAAAATTAATTTTAAAAAAAAGAACATTGATTTTTCTTTTAAAGCCTGGAAGAAAGGCATCAACTAGCAACAAGCGAAACAAATCAAATTGTTGCAAAACATTAGGGAAATCTGTATCTTTTAATTCAAAACCTTCATTTCTGCGAAATAAATAAGTATCCATCAGTTTTTTTGGATCATAATTCACGTCAAAAAGGGTTAGATTTAGGCTATCCGGAAGCTTCCTCGCACGTGGAGACACAACACAGACGTGTGTTCCCTAGACGGGAAATGTCCTTGTAAGATTTTGCAGTCAAGGACGCAAAGGCTTGAACTTCAATACAAAAAGCCGTTAAATCCTTTTAACAGCCGGTAGACACTATAACCAGCAAGTGGCTTCGCCTCCTCCCACTCCTCTTAACTATATCTAAAAAGCAGTCAAACGGTAGTAAAAAGAAATCAATTTATAACGCAGGTGGGGTTAGTGCTTTTTTCTTAAACTGAACTTCATTAGTTACATGTACTTCCTGTAATTTATTACGTATAGTTCAAGGGTTATAAATATTAGTTAGTTAAAAACTTCTGATTATGGAGTTAAAAGTGAATAAAAAGATTATTGTTGCCTTATTGTTTCTTACATTCTCAATAAACCTTATGATGATCATCAATAAATAATGATTCAGATAGCTTTGCATATCATAACATAAAATTAATAAAAATTATAAAAATGTTTATCTATAAACTACTTATCTATAAATTTTGTATTTATCTCTTATTTAACGGCACTTACCAGTAATATGTACGAGGGTTGTCCATAAAATAAGGTTCCCAACGAACTTTCACAATGAAAAACATGTTTATTGGCATTGAATAATACATGTTTGGAAAGCTTAGACTTCCCTCTTTTTTTCGGCATAATCGCCGTTTAGATCAATGCATTTTTACATGCAGTGTTACATCTTCTTTATGCCTGAGTCGTAGAACTCTGCCGCCGCTCCGCGAAGATAGCTTAAAACAGACAGAATTTGCTTAAACTTCTTCGGCTTTGGCGAGCATGGATGCTTCCACTAACGGGATTGTTCTTTTGTTTCCGGTGTCATGTAGTGGACCCAGGTCTCGTCCCCAGTGACAACAGAGTCCAAAAATTCCTTGCCATCGGTTTCGTAGGCATGAAGAAATTCGCAGGCGGCTTCCACACGTTGCCGTTTGTTGTCATAGTCATCCGTCCGCATTTTCGGGACCCACCTTGCCCAAACCTTGGCATATCCTAA